GCGGGAACGCGACCTGGGAAGGAGAGACAGACAGAAGTCAGTGTCACAAGAGCTCAGAAAGACTCCGGGAATGTAGCCAAGCACCTCAGAGGATTCAGGGTCCTACCGACTGCGACGACTTCCTCCCCTCTTGCTGAAGCGGTAACAATCATAAGCATAGTGACCCCGGTCACCACACTGGTAGCAACGATCATTCGGGTCAAAATGGCGCCGGCTTGGCCGCCCATACCGCGTCTTCCGGGACAACCCAGTGGACAACTCTACACGGATCCGGGTCCCACAGAGCACTCTGATGAGAGAGAGAGAGAGAGAGAGAGAAGATAGGCTGCATTACAGGTGAAGCAAAGTCACATGACAAATCCAGTCACCTGTAAGACACTACCGAGGAGTTGGGCAAAAGCCACGAACAATAGAACCTGGGCTACTTACTTGCCATCCATGCCTTTTACCGCATCCTCTGCATCCCGGGAATCTTCATACTCCACGAAGGCAAAGCCGGGGGGATTTCGAGCCACCCAGACGCTCCGCAGAGGCCCGTAGTAGCTGAATGCCCTCTCCAGCTCACCCTTCGCTGCACCATTGCCGAGGTCGCCAACGTAGACCTTGCAATCTAGGCTGCGAGAAGAGCTGCGGGAAGATGAGTAGTACGACATTTCCTGCAAACAAGCACAACAGGGGATTAATTAATAAAATTGATAAAGGCAATTCAGTTTAGCACATGTGACCTGCACTGCTGTTGGGACATTTTTACAGCAGTCAACCTATACACCATACATACTCATGTTATAAGACGAGCAATGTGCCTCACCAAAAAGTTAAGATAATTAAGCTAGCTACCTTCCAAAAAGCAATCTGGTCAGCATTCTCGGGGAGGTTTCGACATAGATGTGCAACGCAATTAATAACGACACTATACAATATAGAGATTTACCTAAATGACTAAAGCCAGATATACATTCCTTATATTACCAGTACTAGTATCGAAGCGAAAAGCAGCATTGTCTAATTCTAGTCATTAACTGTCAACTACTTAGTGTTAGTGACTGATTTGAAACAGTAATGCTAGGTATTACTGACATAGTGGCGCTACGTCCGAAACGGCAAATGGCGCGAGTGCCCGGTTAGGCCCATGGCGTGTTTCACAGCCACTACACTCAGACTACCGCACATTCACCAAAAACTACCATCGTATTATCACCGATTATGAGAGTTACGACTCCCCGGACACACTTTGTATCTGAACACCGGATAGGAGTGTGCTGGCCAGAAATGAGGCGAATTACCAGTGTGGCTCAATAAACAATGGCCGCCGATCTGTACAGCGTTGTTCCGTGAATCAATGTATATCCCCTTCCGGCCCACGAGATATTATCTTGCCGAGCGCCTGCTTTGACAAAGGGAACTAAACACACTACGGTGAACTATTCGCACGCATACGCATTGGCTGTATATGGCGAAGGGTGAAAAACAACGTTACAAAGGTCCATCTGCTCACCTCACCCCCTCTGTTCAAACTCCAGTGACTCCGGTTGAAACGAAAGCGACCCGGCTGAGCACCGCGCATGCGCAGTTTATAGCAACTTCTGCTTCTATAGAGAAAGGAGGGGTTTCCCTACAGGGGCTTGATTCCGTCCGCTGATACTTTGTGCCGATTTCTCGAATTTTCCAAGGTCCGTCGAAAGGTTTCTCGCAATTCCGATAAAACTCGTACCGACGGTAACGAATTTATGCAAAGAAAATCCGTCGTGTTGTCGCCTAACGATGACACTCCGGCACATTAGGTGGCAGTCTCCGCTTACAGCTTGGACTCCATCGCGCCACCATCGCAAGAATGCAAACGGTCACATCCGCTTTTTGAGAATCGCATTTTTAATGCATCAAAGCCACGGTGCGCTATTTAAACGTTGCCCAAAATCCAATCACAAGATGACATAGCAAAATGCTTTGAAAGCGATCAAATGTAATACAACTAATGATTTAAACGTATTTTTGTCACAAACAAACAAACTTACTGGGAAGCCGTAAATTATGGAATACTCTGCTCCCTGAATATTAATTAAATCCGCTCCAGAACTGAAATATTAAGCAAATACGGGGTTTCTATCCTTAAGTGAAGTCATCATTGGTGCTTTTTAACCCTCCCTTAATATGTGTCTATTAAACATTTTTGGAGCACGCGAATCATTCCCTTTATTTTATTAATTATTCCCTCAACATCTAGCACTAATATGCCTAGAGAAGTTTGGCACTTGACCCCCCAAGGGATTTTTTGTCCATTTCCTACCAGGGAGTTCCTGCTGCATCACTTTTATAACTTGTCGTCTTGTCTTCATACCGGTTTTATATTTCAGTATTTCTAGATTGTACATTAAGTGCCTTTGGCCAACTCTGTCAGCAACACTGCTGTATAAAACCAAAAGTTAAATAACAGAAGGGATCTGGTGTTAATTTAAGACTTAAAGTGCAGTCACTCTGAGCTAATGGAGTACTAACCGCAGGACTAATAAAATAGATTTGCATGTTTGGCTTGACATCCTGAAAGTGTGTTAGCCATCTACTTTGCATGTTAAATTTTGTGATTGTTGTGTTATAGCATTGCACACAGAGATATGACTTCCAAAACTTTAATGGAATTTAGCAATAAAGAGTTACTGTATTATTCCTGTGGTTTGCTATTAGTGATAGCAGTAAATTAACTTGGTGGTTATGTGTCAAAGGGCAGGTACATATTACTCAAATTTCTACATCCAATAAGCGGGTTGAATTTTTTTCCTGTGGTTAGACTTGCTACATGATCTAGATTTTTCCCATAGATAAATTCCTTCACTTGAAAACTTTCAGAACTGCATAACATAAATAGTCTCTTTTAGTACTCTTTTTTTTTCTTTTCTTAACACTGAAAGTGATGTAGATTGACATATGGGGGTATGACAGGGGTGGTCCTATTAGTGCTCATTATTGGAAGTTTGACAGTTCAACTCCTTTGACCAGCCAAGTGATGTCACTGTTGCACCTTTGAGTGAGGTCCGTAGCCACAATTGGTCTAGTGTGTGGGATGCTGGCTGAACCTGCGCTCTGACCCACAAACTCGCTCTCACCTGAGTATGTGCCTGTGTAGGTGAAAACACAATTTCCTCATAGGCATGAATAAAGTGTGAATGTTTTATTAGAATATAAAGGATTTCAGCTAGATTTTCTGTTCCAGGCCTTATGATTTCCCATTCGCTAAGTAAGAAATGCTTAAGTGAATCACTTTTTATTCTAAGTGTCTGGTACAAAATTTCTTTCTTTCTTAAAGATAAAATTTATAAACAAGTCACTGTCTGTGTAATGCATCAAATGGCTGTTTTTCATATGGTGTGTTAACACTGATGTGATTTTGCAGCCATGGAGAAAGAGGACTCAGATGGATTAACTATGTGTAACTATTCCATCCATCACTTCATCTTCTGTAACTGCTTGTTCTATTCAGGGTTATGGGGGGTTCAGAACCTATCCAAGAGGCAGGAAACAACCCAGGATGGGGTGCCAACGCATTGCAGGAGTAGGGGTATCATAACATGTAATTAAAAATGTAATTATCAATTACCAGTGTTCAGTTAATGTTTGGATGGGCCTTGAGTATTACTATTATAAAAATCTGTTAAATGATCTTTGTACATTCCCTTTATTTCTTACCTTAGTATATTAATACCTAATCTATTGGTACCTCATCTATTCTCTCACATTAGATGTTTGCTAGAACATTAAGAACCATATTAAGGTTGATGCAGAGGTGCAGCGACAGAACAGGCAGGGCAGGCAATGGACTGGGGCCCTGAGCTGCAAGGGGGCCCCCGAGGGCAGCCGTTTGCATAATACATTGCAACGACAAATCTGCTTTATTTATGAATTCTGTTTTTCACAAAAGTGAAAATAAAGGTCTTGTGTTTCTTTAATTCTCTTTGTTTATATTTTAGGTTTACGTGACACAGTAAAATAAAGGTAATAGATTTTACCATGCTGGGAGAGGGGGAGTTGAACAGGGGGAGTTGGAGGGCCCCATGTATTTTTTTGATCCCAAAATCGCCTCCGGGTTGATGGCAAATGAAATGCCTGCTCCTACATACTTTAATAATATCATCTTAATGAAAGGCTCCATAAAAATAGTGCACAAGTGGCATCGAAATGTGAACAATCAGCTTGCCTCTCCCCCACTGAGCTGTGTACATCTCACGGCACATGCCTGCTCACACCTGGCCAGCTGAGTAATCCAGAAGTGCTTTGCATTGCTATGTCTTGCTATAGTGGCATCCAGATTTTTCTTTAATTTTCCTGCAAGTCAGTCTTAGTAACCCTCATTGCAGCGTTTGGCATTTAATTTCAGTAGAAAAATATGTTCCTGCAGTTTGAAGCACTCCTGAGAAAAATTTACACCCTTTCTTTGATTTATTGTAAATGGGAAGCTGAGCTATGCAGCACCTTGAGTATCCCACATTCGTTTTACTGCCTTGCTGTTCCATACCACATTTGGTTATTGTTACGTTTGTTGTGATTGAACTCTGAAGTTGGAGTGAAATACACCCTGATCTCAGAGTCAGTATATGTGAGTGATCAAACGAGTAATTCTATTTTATGAAAAAAAAATAGTCACATGTTCACGGCCCTTAACCCCCAGCTCCCTGGGTGCCGCAAGGTGGCTGCCTTTTCGTGGTGACCCTCAAGCGTGATCTCACCTGTATGGAGAGCAAGACAGGACAAAGCATAAAGAGAATTTCCACATGGGGAATAATCAGAGGTGGACATTTCAGGTCCAGACAGTAAAAATCCAAACCAGGACTTTGTTTCAACCAACCAGTTGAGCTTAAAGAGTCACAGTCACAGATTACTCAGCTGGTTGGTTGAAACAAAATCTTGGTCTGGATTTTTACTTTCTGGACCAGAAATGTCCGCCACTGGGAATAATAAAGTATCTCTGTTCTATTCTAAATATGAATAAATAAAAACACAGACAGAAAGCATTCAAAATAAATTAACTGTATTCAATAAATCAACTGTGGTTATTTTTTTCCAGTACACATTACACATCATGCCATGTTCTCCAAAACAAGTAATCATCCTTATTTTCTATTTTTGTTATATATTTTTTGAAAAACAGTATACAGTACTGGATACATATTCTCTTTAGTCAGTCATTATTCCTACAAATAACAAGCAAAGAGTGAGGATCACATACAACTTTACGCAAAATACACAAGAGAGCAAGACATGGGGTAAAGCACCCCAACAAAGGCAGGGGAAGACAAACAGATACGTACAAAGAGCATATACCAGCAAAGTCATAACAAACCGACAAGGAGTCAACAGCAAGGAGGTCCATTCAGTTAACTGCCTTTTCACATTGATAATAAGAAATTCATATTCATTTTGTAAAAAATAATAGTGATAATAATAAAGATTCAAGAGCGTATAAGGTATACAGTTTACGCATTAAGCACTGTCAGTATCAGGTGCTGAATGTATCAGGCGTGGGGACTGTCTCCTGCTCCTCTCCCAGCTGTCATTCCCTGTTCCGGTGGCTTGTCGTATGACCTTCGGCCACGCTCTCCACTACAGAAACCAGCACGCCATTTCTCATAAGCGGACGTAAAATTGTTGAATCAAGGATGTCAATAAGGGATCATGCTATGGTACCAGAAACTCATGCGTTTACACATCGGAAGCACGACCAACAGAATGTAGACAATAGAAAGCAATCACACTTTTACAGCAATGGCATAGTCTGCAGAGTCTGCAGTCATTTTCGGCACGTTTTGAAACAGACAGGACTGTCGTTTTAAAGACGTCACTAAGCTAACCTACTGACCATTAAATCTCCCCAAACGTATGCCACTATTCTAAACAAGTTGAGACAAAAATACTGTTAGTGTCCCAGTTTAACTTTATCATGCGTGCATCTTATTTTGCTTTTCTTTCAACACTGTGTATGAGAAACAATGGTTTTCATACTGGGAATAAAATAAATCTGCCACTGTTCCATGGGGAACCAAACAGGTGAGCGTTAGGAAAAGGCTAAAATGTTTGTTTCAGGGAATCCAAAACAGAATTTTTTTTCCCCCATTAGATAATCAAAACTATAGTAGATTGCAGTCACAGACCCCAAGACTTTTGTGTTCTACAGCTTCCTCTATTTTAAAAGGCAAAATGCTCTCAAACTGAATTTAAAAAGTTATAACAGTCAGCAGGTAAATATGTAAAAATAATCCCTAAAAGTATAGCACTAACTCAAAGCAACCAAGCAAACATCCTTCATATTGTGAAAATGATCATATAATGGTTATAATCAAATACAAAATGAACTAGAACATATTAATTTCCTTTTTTCCCAGGAAAAAAATAGAAAAATATCTAAATGTTTATTATTATAACAATAATCTGTATAATTATATGCTCTTGCATTGCATGTGGAAATACAAAAGTTCCCTCTTAAATTTCAGAGGGAGAGTAGCGTAAAAGTGTACAAAGTCTTTTAGAGCAGACCAAATTCATTATCCAAAGGCAGTAGTCCATGATACAGAAATCCTGTTTCTATTGATAAAAAACATCCTAACTGAAATTCAATAATGAGCTACAACACTAATGAAGTGGTTAAATATTATTGAAGCCCATCAGCCTCACACACAGAAACTGATCCATATACAGATTATAAATATCTATACATATACAGTATAGCCATGTAAACATATGTTCATTTAAAGGTTAAAGTACATACTGTACATATATCTATATATTTATTTCTTGTTTATTTAAATGGTATCAAACATTTTGATTACTCATGTGCGAGTTGGATTGCTATAAATCTAATTTTTAAAGATCCAAATTCCAGTTACAAAGTCACAGTTAGACAAACAGACAATTCTGCGATCGTGAGATACACTGAATTTCAAAATTGTTCAAATTAGTTGTATTTCTTGCAATCTGTCAACACTGATTTGTAAACAGATTCTCAGTATACAACATTACTACTAAAATAAATAAAAATAAATAAATAGGCTAAACAGTAACATCACACAAATTTCATTCTCACTCCCAGCTCTTGTTGGGGATACCACAGACCAGAAGCCAGGAATACCTTTACATTTCTCTGTCTTTGCTAGTCAGTAGAAGGTCAGTAGAAGGACACAAATAAGGACATGTACAGAGTTGTTGCCATAGAAACCATTATGTATGCCAATTGATATGAGAGGTCCTGTCCCAAACATCTCAGACCTTGATTTCTAGATCTTGCTGAGTGAGCAACATATTCTGAACACAGCTACTCTTCACTTAGACCAGAAATACATTTTCCAGTGTTTCTTATATTTTACATTTTTGTGTATAGTCATAATTATTGAAAAGGGTTAATTAATAAAACTTATATAAACATCAGACTCTGCATGAAGGACAGTAAATTAAGCTATTGTTCCCTTAACACGTCAGTCTCAAAGGCCATGTTGCAATATACAAACAAATGTTTCTGTTATACCGGAAACCTTTGCCACTGGCTGAATTATTGCACTTTAAAACATGTGTTTTAGGCATAAGATGCCACCTCACAACATACTATACAAGTTGGCAGCCTATTGCACATTTTCCTTTGTTTCCTGTACCTGCAGAAAACATACCAGCAACAGGAAATACAAATAATACGTACAAGACCCTGGGGGAAGAAGACATGATACTCTCCTTATGTTTTTTCTGAGAATATTATGTTAGCAGGGTCCTAACAGTAATCTTAGTCTTTGCCAGTCATCAATCTTTCCACAAAGTTGCTACAGCTAACATTATATTCACATAGTAATAGCTACTTCAGTAAAGCATAGCAATTCAATAAACGTAAACAGAAGACGACAAGGGACACATTTAAACATAAACAGATGAGGTAACAGTTATAAGAAACCACTGGAGGAGTTCCGTTTCAACAGTTGCAGTCAAAACTTCCATCACAGTCATAGACTATGGTGTTACGAAGAGCTTGAAGGACTGAATGAATAACTGTGGACAGACGGTGACCCCCAAGGATGGAACTTGAATCCGTGTTACGTATCTAAATTCAACCAAATAGAGGGTTTCAAATTACAGCCGCTTTAGATGCTCTTGGATCAGTAAGTGCATCATCTTCCTGGACCAATGGAGAGCGGACATGCTTCATATCGACATAAAGCCACAATATAATCTACGCATGTGTTTGACATTCTTAGACCCTTCATAAACGGAACAAATGCTCTTCCTGTGCATATTTTGACTTGAACCATGCAGCCACTGTGTTCAACAACTCTGCCATGCATCACTAGCTATCACAATAAAGAGTGAGCTGAATGGTACTTACTTAAGCCTTACAAACTAGAGAATTTCACAAAAATGGCATATTTCAGTTGAATGAACAATATTTAACACATTTATTACACATTTCCTTAGCTCCCCAGTGTGACCTTTTAGAATACAAAATCTCTTTCTCATGTCAGCATGGCCTCTGTCCACTGGACCAAATCCTTTGCTCCCAGCTAATATTTCAATTAGTAAAATAAGCAAGTAACATAACTGCATTTCGTTATACTTATTATCAAAGAGGACATAATGCTTAAGATATTGTTGACCTTGTTGGATGGTCTTGTTCTTTTGTTCTTCAGTATCTTTCTGAGTACTGACTCGATGCTGCTGATCAGCACTGCCCTGGATCACTCATAGAATGAAAACTGATGGAGTGCATGGATCTGCATCATCATTATACAGACGCTCCCCAAGTTACGACAGTCTGCGTTACGATATTTCAACTTTACGATGGGTAAATGTTTTTATTATAAAATAGTCGTTGTGTTAATGATTCATTGTGTTATTGTATTAATGACATTATGTTTGCCCAACTGTAGGCTAATGTATGTTCTAAGCATGTTTTTAAGGTAAGCTAGGCTAGGCTGTGATGTTTGTTAGGTTAGATGTACTGTATTAAAATTTTCGCCTTACGATATTTTCACCTTACAATAGGTTTATCGGAACGTAACCCTATCGTAACCTGGGGACGGGCTATATTTCCATATGATACTTCCACTTTTTGGATGGTTGTAAGGAAGGAAGGACAGAATAAGGAGGTACCTCATACGGAATAAACTCATACAATTAATGGCCTTAGTGCCTAAATAAGCTGATTTTGTGCGAAAGGAGTGGAATTGTGGGATATATTATCAGTCCTTCTCAGTACAAAGTATGTAGGGTCTGTAGCTGTCCTATATGCCTAGCACGCAAAGCCTCAAAAATTAACCAGTTTCCTAACAAATCACATTATTTTGTAAGGTTGAGACTTTAGGCTAAGAAAGAAATTTAAAACTGCCCAAACTCGAGGTTATGATCATGCATTTGGGTTTGCTTGTAATTCTAACAAAAATAACTTGCTGAAATATTTGAATACTTGGTGCAATTGTCCCTTGAGTGTTTTTGAGTGTTACTAATTTACAGGTGCCCGAAAAATATTTATGTATACAGCACCCAACTGAGCTAGGTTGGACCTTCTCAGTTGGGGTGCAACAAACATAGATATATCAGGGAAAATATTACTAACAACTTTGTCAAAGGCTGTTGAAGCTAATTAGAACCTGAAATAGCAAGCTATTGGCTAGCTAGAGTGACACATTATTTCAGTAGGTTTCATTCATCTATTTAACCACTTAACCAGTAAAGGTTTGCAGGGAGCCATTAGCCAAGCCCAGGCAACATAGGGCACAACACCCTGAAGAGGATGCCAGTCCATCACAGGGCACACAAACACACAGTCTCACACAATATGGGCAAGGCCTAGTCCCATAAGTGTCTGTCTTTGGATACAGGCAGGAAACCAGAGTCCCCAGCGGAAACTGGTGCGATACAGGGAGAGCATGGAAACTCTGCAGCAAAACCGCTGCCTACCAAACCACCATGCCGCCTGATATATTTCTCGATAGTTTAACATCTCCAAGACAGCCAGGAAATGCTTAGAAATATATCAATAAATATTCAGCGAATCAGTGCAATGGCTGTCACAACCAAGCAAATATTCAGGACTTACTTCATTTGATGTATTTAAAACTTTCCATAGTATAAATTATTTAAGAATAATGTGCACAAGAAATGCAGAAGAAAAAAATAATTTGGGCAGAGGTATTTAAGATAAAAAAAATAAATACATAAAACATAAATCAGACTACTAATAACCGATATTTACCTGCCTAAGCCATTTGGTGCCATAACAATCACCTCAGAAATCGTGTGCAAGCAATAACCTGTGAGAACTACTTACACAAATAAAATATGCCCTTATTTCATTATAAGTAAAACACGCCTTTTGCCTACCGATAACCATTTGATATGAGTTTGATATGGTTTGAGATCACAAATAGTTTGCTTTTAGTGCACATAGACTTCACATCAAAATAAACATGCACCATTGGCTCACATAGTCAAGAAAATCTTACTTCTAACAGTTAATCTGAACAACTTTATCATGTGCATTTTGAACAGTACCATGTATGTAATAGTCAGTAGCAGTAGATGACGAGCTTCATATCACAATAGTTGTTAATTTATTTCAGTGATCCAATCCCTTAGTTATTTGCTGCTATAGAAACTGCCAATTCAATATTAAATGTGGCAGGTCCTCACACTGCGTATGAAGAAGAATGAATCTTCAGTTAAATTCTTCCAGCAGCGAGTCTTTTCAGTTTTGATATTTGCGAAGACACCTCGAATTGGAGTATGAAATGGACACTGAATTTTTCGGATACAGAATAAGAAGGCCTCGCCTGCAAATTATTTTAAATGAAACATCTACAATTAGAGTAGATAGGAAACTTTTGTGTGTGCAATGGCTTTGGGAAAAGGGAATCTGGAAGTAAGATAATATTGTGTGCTCCATAAAAGCCACAGGTCAAGTTAGCTCTAGAGGGTGGAGACCGATTTATTCCAGAAACCTCAGTGGCCCTAAATCAGACAAACTCCTACCGCACAGTAATTTCAATCCTGAGCAGTACAAGGTGTCAAACCCTCTGATGCATCTATTTTTTACCTAATCTTTGTCATTTCTCTCTCATTCCAGCTCTTACTTTCAAAACTGGGTACCCATCTTTACTTGTCATGTTACTTTCTCTCTCTCAGCTTCACCACATTTTAAAACCTCTAAAAGCCTGCATTCTAAAGATATTATGTCTGCTATTAACTTCTGCTGCTCCCTCTCTATTACACAGCATTCAAATGTCATCTGTGTGCATGCACACACATTTACTAAGTGTACCACAAGTTCATTATTAGTACGACAATATTTTTATCAATGGACAGGACCAGAATCTGGACTGGTGTTGTGTGTGCGTGCACGCGCGTGCGGGTGTGTGTTGTGTGTTTCATTAAAGGTTCCCCCTAGAAATGGAAGGGCAACAAAATATTTTGCTGGGTGCCATGCACAGTCCGGGATTAGCTCTGTACCCGTAAAGGTAAAATGTACCATTTAGTGTGTGAATGGTTTTCTGTTTTTTTTTTTTCCCCTGTGCCTTGCTTTTAAAAGCCTTTAATGTGGCAGTAGGCTTCTAAGCTGGAGAAGAGGATGTAGAGGAACCAGAGGCCAAAGAAGAGCAGGGAGGTGAAAAAGCGGGGGAGCCGAGGTCCGCCGAGTTCGCCGCCGACGGAGGGTCGCCGACGGAGGAGCAGCACGCCGAAGGAGATGAAGGCGAAGATGGTGAAGAGGGTGACGGAGAAGGCGAGGGAGCCAGGGTCCACGCGGAAAGGCTTCCCCTGCACGTGCCAGTACACGGCCGCCACCGACCACGCCACCCCGATCCCCAGAAAGACGTTGACTGCATTGCTCCCAGTGACGTTACCCACAGACGCGTCGGCATACTGGTCTTGTATGGCAGCCACCTTGCTGGCGAAGGTATCTGGAAGAGGGAGGAAAAACGCGCTATAAGATCTGTACAGCTGGCCCTTAGGCCAGAACTGCAGACAACGTTTTCCATGATTGTACAGCAACCCGTTCACATTCCTACATTTGATATTTGCGGTTTCGCTGATCCGTGAGCCGGCCATGGACAATCAAACAGGAATACTTTTGGAGATGGTCAGAAAATTGCAGAAACTCACAGACGACATGTAAGGCGAAAACAGTACTGAAAATGATTTGGATCACAAAGAATCATATAATATATAAATATTAGTAATACGTAATATGTCTTTGTGTAAGTGCATTCTATATCTTTAATATAAAAAAAATCTTGGCCGCTTTGTCTCGAGAAGCAGCCTCAGTCACGTTAGCTGTCTTTGTGACTGTGAAATCTCACGTTTCTCGCAGTGACTTTTAAACATTTCACTGCCATTAACATTGCATTTCAATTTCCAAAACGTAGTGCTCCCAGCGCACGGTAATAACGTTTTTCATACAGGGCCACAATTTAAATGGTTTGTATAGTATATAAAAAGACCTTGATAGGAAATGACAAAGTATTTACTCATGCAGTGCGTACAGTGCAGTACTGTTTGGTAAGACAATGGCAATAAATAGACTGTTTACATGTTTGTTCAGGCTAGCAGAATGTTATGGTCAGAATTTAGGGGTGCCTAGATATTATTCGTGAATTGTCACATTGGCGGGAATCTGCTGCCCTTAACCCTTGTGAATGTGAAGGGGTTACTGTACAATGGTTGCATCTACACCAGCATCACTACAGTTAGAGTAGAGACGTGGGCAACTCACCAGGAATAGATGTTCCCAGGGCCACAAAGACCACAGCGGTGACAGTGTCACGCAGGCCTATAGTGCAGCCAAAATGTGACGCGAGGTCACCGATGACGGCAGTGAGGAAACCAATGACGGAGATGGACACAATGAAGCAGGCCCAGCCGTTCCAATACTCAGTGGGTGGCACGCAGGCAAACAGAACCTTCCAGAAAACTGTCAGGAAGTGCATGATGTAATCAAAGCAGGAGGGTCGGCGCTCCTCTCGCCCTTCCTCATCCTCCTCCCCATCACCTAGAAGAGGGACACTTTTAATCTTAATCCCACATTTGCTCACATTCAGTGAAAATGCACCTTCATAAATAGGTAGAAAGGCAATTTGATTATTGCACATCATCACCAGGGTCATCAATATTCAATTTCAAAACTGGATTATCAGTATGAGAGTATTAATCGGCATGAATATTAAAAACTAAAAAATAAAACTATAATCTCTAATTATCTTAAAGCTATATCAGAAATATAATATATAAACACTCTATATTAACCAATTTAAAAAAATACAACAGAAAAAAATACGACTCCCCTTTTCACTATGTAATTTGTATTTACTGTAATATGTATTCTCATCTGCATTCATTTTCAAACTGCAAATAAAACCATTTGGCAAATAATAAAAAAACAGGCATTTAATCTGTATGCCACCAAACTCTCCACCAGGAGGGGCTATAACTATGACTATACACTATAGACACCAAGAGGAAATTGCTTGCAAAAAACTTTCCTTATCATGCACAGTCACAGTTCAGTGCTTAATGCACTAACCGGACGTGAGTCTGTGGTAATAGGACCATTACTGGCAATGGACATCGTTGTTTTTGGTGACATTTAAATAAACCACTGACCTGCACTGACAGTCACAGCTTCGACGAACTGCTCCCGCCAGGAGTGGGTGCCAATCACTACGGCCAAATTGGTCTTCTTAATAAGCTTGTCCACTGTGCTCTGCCAAACCCAAGAAGGGAACATTACGAGCAGACAAACACCGACAGGATAATGATGGAGGGGTGGTCGCCTGACCGAATGATGGGCAGCACAGCGTAGCATCTGCCCTGACCGAAAACGACAAAATCAGGTCTGGGAACAAAATGAACTTTCCAAACTGGATCAAAATCGATTTGGTTGTTTGCACACAAGCACACAGGAAACAGAGAAGAACAAACAAAGGACTGGAGTTCATTTTTGGGAATTCCTTTATATCTGAAAATGCACACACTACATCCGGCAGTAAAAAAAAAATAAAATAAAAAAATAAAAAAATAAATATATATATATATAAGGATCCAGGACTCATATCTGACATAAGGCAAAGAAATTAATTCATTTCCAGTGCATCTTCTTTTTACAATGGAACCATCTTGATTATAAAAAATGTTACATTGCACCGCTCTGATTGGCTGGTGGACAAGTCATAGAGCTGTGGATCCACGTTGGTAAGTGAAATCAGAATCAAGCAGAGAGCACCCAATCCCCCTGTCTAGTCACAGGGGGGGTTTCATGCAGTGGGGGGGGTGACCTACCGGATTGAGTATGCCATTGGGAGTCATTCCCTGTCGGATCTGACAGGTGAGAGGGTATCAGTGTGGATGACAATTTGTTTCTTTGGAGGTAAAGCATAAGTAGGTTTTTGTCACGGTGTCATTGTGCGCTCTATTTGAGAAGCACTCTCACAAGGGCATATATTAAAATATGATAAAGAAAAAATTTAATCTGTATATCTTGCATAAAAAATGAAAATCATATTAAGTTCTGCATTACCGCTTTCGCAAATGTATTCTCATACATTCACGGAAATAAATTAAAATTTAATATACATAATTATAATCCAATAGTATAATGCATGCAATTCGAAAGTAGTAATAACTAATTTAATTTTATTATATAATAGGTTACAGTTTAAGAAACTTATTTCTGTATTAATTATATGTCATACATCACCTTAAATGTCTGGGGTTTCTGTTTGTGTGCTGAGTGAGGGTTAGTTTTGAGGTGTAGCGTTCTATTGTAACTCTTGTTTTGGGTCTCTGGGATGTATGCTCTGGTATACTTTACTACCGTCCATGTATAACTGACCCATAGCAACCTTAATCCCAGTTGCTACACAACCACACTTTTGGAGCCGGAAACAGGAGGCACCCATTTTCGAACGACTCCTGTCATATTTTAATGGTTTCCCATCCTGTATTATTTAATACATGTACCTATATCTGGTCACTACGAGATGACATACTGGCTTAAATAGGGATTGCAGCAGTAGCTCGCTACCTTAAACTCGTAAGACTCCTCAATGACCACCTCGAGCCGGCCGTGCTCGCCCAGAACGGGCTTCCCCATCTCAGCGATGCGCCGTGCCTCTATCTCCTCCGCGCTCAGCTCAGCCTCCTGGTCCACTGGCAGGGGAGGTGGGTGAGGAGCAGAGAGATGGAGTGCAGACATAAGGAGAACGAGGAGTAGGGGGAAAATGGAGAATCATCAGATTTTGGATATGGACAAGTGAAAGGAATGACAATAAAGTCAATCAACACCAAAAGCCGAAACTGAACTTTATATCTCTTCAGTCAATCGATAAATATTCTACCATCTTCAAGTTTACTGACACTGAATAACAGTTTTAAATATTGATGGCGGTACCTTAATTGGAAACTGTCTCTACTTTTCAAGCTGAAAATGAATCCAATTAGCAGAAGGAAGTGACAGCTTCACAAAGTGTGAGGTTTGTTATTCAAAAGTCTTCTTGATCAAAATAGCTACAGCCAAAACAATGCAAACTATGTATTAGTGTGTTAATGAAGTGACAATGCTCTCTGGTGTATTTGTTTGTTACTCATTAGCAAATGTTGCCATAAACAGGGAAAGAAGCGGTCCGCAGAGTCAGGCCCCTGCTTGTGCTGATCTGTGAGGGGATAGAAAGGTGATTTGTATCTGCTCGATTTTCCAAAGTAGTCTCCAATTATGGAACAACACAACAGCTCCCATCCCGAATTTTGCATCTCAGAATCGGAATTCTTTATTGTCATCACCACCTTTATGGTGTAATTAATTTACATTAACATTAACGTTGCAAATTGCAGTGTTGTACCTAAAAACTACGTAATACAAACTGTCGCTCCAAAAAACTAAGACCTGCTCCTGCCAGAATTTTTCGTCCTAGGATATCATTTGTGTGCAGGTCTGGGGTGTAAATTAATATCCAGCTGACTTCATAAACACATGGATGGGGTCCTGCTTGGATGAATAAGCTTACATGCTATCCAAACTGAAGTGCCTGACCCGGAATCATAGTTATTCTGTAATCATAAACACAAACCAGACCTTCAGATTAAAAAGCAAACATTTAAAAAATCAACGGTAAACACACATCTGATGTATCTGAAGTGTTTATGACCCTTAAAACTAAGATCGATGTTAAGGGCATCCAGAGATGTATTGGGGGGACGGAGGAATTCCAACCTGCCAGCTAGGATATGATGACCATCGTAATAATAGGACAAACATGAGATAAGTGGGATTTCCTTTTAAGCTTTGGTGCTGGCGGAGTTCTGTTTTGTTTCGTCTTAAAGGGCCAGGCCCAGATGCGTTTGTGTGTCTGAGACTCTATACCTTGCCTGCTGCGGCCACTTTAAAATATGCTGCAGTGCATAATGTACAACAAATCACAGTTTAAAGATACAGATTAAACAAACTATAAATAATTCAATAATTAAGCACCAAAATATGCATATGACAATTCCTCCTTCCATCTATCAGCAACATCACTTTTATTACAAATAAACAAGGAGACACTTTTTCAAATACTTAAAAAATATTTATAAGTATATTTCTTTTCCTTTATCAGTTATTTTATCTAGGGCCATTTTGTCTTATTCTGTGTGCGTTTAGAGGTTGTTACAGTGTTCTTAAGAATCAATCTGTGATGAAGAACCCTTCCTAAATCACCTTGAGCCTCCACAGACACATAAACGTACAAAAAGGTCCAGTTCACGAAACCCTGCGAGGTGCCCAAAGATCTCATAATATTGCAGACACTCCTGAGTGTCGGAAAATAAAGGACAATGTACTTCTCGAGTAAACATGCTCAGCCTTACCTTGGTTTAGCAGTAGAGCTGTGATGAGAAAAGACACAAAAAAGAAAAAAACAAAACAAAACAAAAGACAGATGAGCGTCCACATGCCCAGAAAATCAGTGTTGTTATTCCAATATCCAAAGTTTTCCCATTCAGATAAATGGATTAACTGATGCATGACAAATGATCAGTTTGACAGCTCTGTATCTAGATGAACTTTTCATAAGAAAAAGATCTTATCAGTACTTTGGCATATGTTAATTAATGATAATAATAATATTATTAATAATAATAATGAAATCAGGTCACATACAGCTTCAGAACCATCCCTGGTCAGTCTGACACATGAAATTTCATGCATGATGTCAGCAACACAGACTGCAAGAAGGTGCCATGCTGTGATGTCAGGACAGGATGGCAGGGAGACACTGAATTAAATGCGGTGGAATGTGCATGCAGGACATTCTCTCTCTCACTTCAAGCTTCGGGCCCTTTATAAAGTTCGTAATCCTTCACGCAATTCAGGAAGGGGATTTTTTTTGTCTTTGACTCAAGGTGACCAATAAAAACACAGGGAGCACAGAAGTGTCAGGAGAGAAACTAGATGTAAATACATCCATGGAGACCGTACCATTTGTAGCCTGGGAAGGGGGGGGGGTGTCCCCTCGGATTATTCCAACATAGTACAGAAAAGTGGACATTTCTCCATTATTCCAGAGCTGTACATAAAGAGGGTGGTTATTCATAATCAACAATAGTGAATTTCCCACTCTCTTGATTGTTTAGATTTAAGCAGCTGCAATTAAATGGAAAGCCTTGTGGCATTGTCCCCTGGCGTGTCGAGGGAAAGCAAGGCCAAAGTAGGACAGTCAAGCCAGATTAATGTGGCTTCCCATTGCAATTGGGAACCCAGACTGGGCCATTGATAGTAAGATAGTAAACAAAAGTCACAGGGTTGGCACTAATAGCATTATTTTAGCACTAATTCCATGGTAGCATTCAGATATTGGCATATAAAAACAATAATAACCTATAATATGCTACATTTAGCTCAATTAAAAGGAACTCTCCAGTTACCGGGGCTAACTTCAATAGAAAAATATTGTAATCCCAGAATCAAAATATCCAACAGCTCGACTACAGAATATTAGAATGTTACGGACTGTACATGCAAAACTGAAACACTTTGCATTTCCGGACGTACTCAGGCCTGTGTGGTTCCTGGTGTGGGGCAGGCCCAAGCCTTCATGGACTGATACATGCCAAACATGGTAATGGAAACATAAACCTTTGTGGTAAATTATCGTAAGGCTCAACAACTGAAGAACTGCTTTAGCGTTCTTGCTCCAAGACATAAGTTCTAGCTACATGCACTGTGTCATGAAAATGAGTATTCGTTATAAAGTAATATTATAAGATCTCCAGGCTTATTTTAACCCAAAGCTACAAAATGTGATTGGTACAATCAAGAGGCAATCAGTCTAGCTAGCTAGGCATCAAGATAGATAGATAGATAGATAGATAAATAGATAGATAGATAGATAGATAGATAGATAGATAGATAGAATGTTTATCTTAGATGCAACTACCCTTCATAAATTATTTCTGATGGTATAATTATCAAGTAGTCAGTATCAAGGCACATCATGTAGCCATTAAATCCACCTCAAACATTTCAAGATGAGAATCCTGGACATTACAAACGATGTTACTAGAGATTTTTCAGTCATGCCATCTGTCTGTGGCAAACAGGTGTTTAGCAGGAGATGTCTGCAATGAAAAATGCTTCATACATTCCTAAATAAAAACAGAGAGGCTTAGCTTGTGTCCCCTGAGCTATTTGTCTACACCATCTCTAGCTGCCATTTAGCTTAATTTTGACTTACTTCTTTTCCCTAACAGAACCAAAGACGCTGTGCTTGTTTGTTCCTCATATGAGCCAAACATTCATCTCCCACCAGCTAGTCATTTTTTCCATCTGGCAGAGCCATCTTCATTAAATACATAATCTTGTTTGACAAACTAAGATGTCTTTGGTGAACGATGACGGACAACAGTTTTGGCCCCATTTACGAAAGAAATCCTCGTAGTCGTTTGCGCAGAGTTAATTAGTCTGTGTGTTGATGTGTATTCTCTCCATGTACACAATCATCACCAGCATCACCACTCCTGCAGATCAGGCTGAAATATGGTCCACAGTTGCATGGTCCTGAGGATGCCATGTAAGGATAGCTTTATGTGTGGGAGTGTCACGTGCTGACCTGAGATTCCTCTCTTCAGCCACCTTGGCTCCTCCAGGACAATGAAAAAATTCTCGTGCTTCTCATACTCCTCATCATCCACGATCCGTATCTTCAGAGTTTGGCTGCAAGTACACATGCATGCACACACATAAGAAAGAATCACACACAGACACATGGAGGGGAAATATAGGGGCCAGCATTATTATATTACCTCTGTATACATGACTGATGCAAGTATGTACTGATTTAAATAACGTTCCTGTAACATCTATATACTGGGGAGAACCCATTTCTGTCAAGGTTATTTAATGGTCCTGATCGGAAGCCCACCCATCGGGTCAGATATCATTCTTACAAATAGTGATGAATGAACAAGAGAAACAAAATGCGAGAGAAATAATTACTTCCTTTTGGAGCCTCTGAAATATTAACACGTGCAGCTTCCACTTAAATCACTTCACAGACTGAAGCTGCATCAATATTTAATGTATTCAAAGATGAATAATTCAGTGACAGACATGCACATCAGACTGCTCTCTTTTCCAGGCAGGTGAGATACCACCCCCCCCCCCCCCCCCAGCACTGCACCCGCCCCCCGGTCCCACTCTGTTGTTTTGGGGGGCGCCTTCTGTTGTGGGGCTGCAGACCTCCACACATCCATTTTCTTTCAGCAATGCCATGGCTAAATTTGTACAGGAGTTCTCCATCGGGGTACTTCTAACAGCTGGGCGGTGGGCCATACGCGCTCAGATGGACAGGGACTCCAGAGATGAACGAGAGGTAAGCCAGCAGATGTTGCAAAAAAAAAATACTATGCTAGATGAAGAAAAGTCTGACTGAATACAATCAGCTACTGAAGCAGAGAGTCTGAATGAAAAGACAGACTTCAAAGCAAAGATTCTCTCCCGGCACACAAAAACAGCCATTCTGACTGCATCTGCAGAGTCAGCTGGACTTCAACATCAGTCATCCATGGTCCACCATTAGTCTACCCAGGACAAGTTTCATACCAGCCCTGCTATATGGAGGATTGAATTGATCTAACTAAAAATAAGTTTTTAATCAATGAAAGTATACAATCATTTGTACTCCTGGTTTTATGATATTTGTGTTAAGTGGAAGGACATACAGAGAAAGATTTTTGTCGCATAGTGGAACTGACCGTTTACTGTGCACGTGACACATAAACGCTTTAATTATGTATCATCCAACCTCTTATCCAGCCAGGGTCATGGGGATAAATACAGAAAAGAATACATGTAAAAATATATACAAAAATAAAATTATGGGTACCACTTTACAAGAAGGCTTCCCCTATAAAGAGTTTAAGAATGGCTTATAGAGGATATTAATTAGATCATAAACAACAGTGTTTATTCAGTTTTCTGTAACACATTGTTCATCTGCCCCTGTCTTGTTCCTTGGGCTTTTGAAGTTACCGTAGTCACTTCCATATATATATGACCAGAAGCTTGATTTGGACAACGCATTGGGAATAGGGCACATGTAAAACTTACACTGGACATACTTAGAAATGATCTTGTCTCTTCTGCAACTTCTTTAATTCAAATTGCACAGACAATTTGGTCTAAATCCCATATGTACATTATGAAGTCTCATTAACAATTATTCTGGTCATGTGTTTTATCTACTAATGCAAACTTGTAGAATGTAGTGCTGCCTGACTGCATTTAAAAATTGACTGTAACTGTTGTTTACCTTCTTGATGTATAAGTAGTGAAGTAATGCAAAAGTGACTGTCTCTATCAGTGTAATGTAATCTCTGTTTCCCCTGTTATTTGACTTTTTTACTTTTTACTGTAACTTGCTCTGTTTTTCCTCCTTTCCCTTAAACTTAGCAACCTGCTGCCTAAATTGTTCAATGAAGATGTATCTGAACAACAATATATTTTGTTCCTATAGGTGAACATAATTGCAATGTATTTTCAACAAATTAATATGATTGACTTGGTTTATGCAATTAATTGCGATTAAGAAAATTAATCACAATTAGTATAGACTGGACATTCATATCATGAAGAAAATTTCCTACACCTTCTCATTGTTAATAATTAACTTCCAAGTTATAATTGCATGTGGAACTTTTATATTCACCCCATGCTGATGTAGGTTTCTATCCACTATCGGAAAACATTTGGTTAGGTGAACTGGTATCTCTCAATTACCCAGAGTGCCTTGGGATAGACTGGAAAATGTTTACAACGTCCTGCCTGGCGCTCTGTGTGGCCTAAAACTGTCTCCAGGCTCACTTTGCCCTGGATGAGGAGTCAAGGAAAATGGATGGCTGGATATTAAGGACAACTATAAAAGGCGGCTGTGACACGAAAAATTAAGAGTTAATGGCTTTAAATATAATCACTGTTGTGTGTCGTGAATAGACTCCCAAATGCATTGCCTGTTACCATTGTTTGTAAAAAAAAAAATCTTAATGTTGGTCGCTGTAGCTATATTTTTTTTCTGGAACATTTATACAAACAAATCTTTTTTTAGTCCACTTACAATTTCGATGCTGTATGCTGACGGAATTCTCCGTCTTTCACAGCAATGCTGTGTAGGGCACTGATTGTACAGGGCATTGTTGTGCACAGCAGTACTGAAGAGTTCTGTGAGAGCTGCTTGATTCAGAGTAGTGCTAAACAAAACAGTATTTGTTGCTGTTGTGTGTACTGGTATCACCATTACTGTGTCTGCTGCTAAATGTGCAATTTAAGCCAACGCACTACTGTGTCTCTTTATCTTATATACTATAATGAGATACCTAAGGAGCACCTAGATGTATAATTAATTATAGAAAACACAAAAAGCAAGCATTAAAGCACTTCCTGATCCTGGTCCTGGTAGACCACTGTGTACACTGGCAAAATGCTCAATTATCCATTATTGTGCTGAATTAGTCACATGGCTCAAATCAAGGCTTTTTCCAGTTGTCTGTTTCGGTTGCTATGAAAATGGTGAAAATAAAGGAAAATCTGTGTTTTAATTGATTTTTATTGATTATTGCTTGGTATTTTAATGTAAGACTAATTTAGAATTAAAAATATAGAAAACATTAAAGTTGAACTTATGTATGTGCCTGCTGCATATTCTTTTTCATTACACAAACAAAACAAAAAACATATTCACTAAAATGAATCAATAACTACTTAACTACTTCAGTGATAAATACAAGAATGACTGGCGCACAAGTGGCAAGAATAATCCTCAACAAATGATTATCAGGAGTGCAGATTGTTTAGAATACTCTAAAAACCATTAAGCATAGTCGAGGCTACTGAGGGTAAAGATCTGCTTAAACCAGAAGACTAGTATACATAGTGAGCTGCCAGAAAAAGGGAACGTGACCAAGCAGATCATGCATTGTTAGGAAAGGTCAGTCACCCATGATTGCCCATGGGTAATTTAGAGACAACTGCATCTTTGCAGACTGTGGGAGGCACTGGAGAAAACTGACAGGCGAGCACACACAGGTGCTGGGGGTGGCAACTGATCCCACAGCCCTGGAGGTGTGAGACAACAGCAATGCTTCCCAACCCAGTCCTCAGGGACCCAAGACAGTCCACGTTTTTGCTCTCTCCCAGCTATTAGACAATCAAACACAATGAATACCTGATACAGGTGCCATTGTGTGCCTGGAGGGAGCAAAGTTGCGGACTGTCTGAAGGTCCCCGAGGACTGGGTTGGGAAACACTGTTGGGACTACAGTACTAACCACAGAGCCCCACACTGACACAGTGAAATGAAGAAATGATGCAGCGGATCAAGTATCTAAAATGGAGACTGTCAAGCGCAGCCCAAGTGCACCAATTATCAAGGGGATGTTTTGTATGTTCCAAACAATGAACAATAATTAAGTGTGAAAAGACAGAATGATCTTCTTCACTTGGTGATTCCTGAACGAGTGCTTCGCTCACGACTGCACCTTCAGCTGCTTGACAACCTCAGTGATTAATGACACGTCACTCACTTCACGCGTCCTGCCGCTATGAAGGATATTTTCGGGCGATGTAGAGTGACTCCCAACACAGAGACTCTACACGAGCCATCGGGACACAGAGGAGTGGTGCGTGGATTTGCCTGTGTGTACGATTAGCTTCCTGTGGTTCACAGAAAGACTCCCAGGATAGGGATGTCAACAGTCAGCTGCACTTTGGCTGTCTGCCAGTCTCATAAACAGAAAGTCTTAAAAACCCACCTTCACTGCTTAGGACAGTGTTTCTCTAACCAGTTCTCGGGGATCCGGGGGGAGCACAGACGTGGACGGCCAGAGAGTCCCTCAGGACCGATTTGAGAAACACTGGCTTAGGAGACATGAGCTCTGTTTTGTTACCATAGGTAAGATGTAACAATCTCACAATGAGGCAGGTACATTATGGAAGCTTTTCAGGCACGTTATGTACCTGACGCATGTGAAATCTGCGGCACGATTGCTTCTTTCACGTAATAAATAATCAATTACGTCAAAAAGCAGCCACCGCCGTTAGGCTTAATTTGGTTCCTGAGGTCACAGAATTACATTATGGCTAAGACGCCCGTGCACACCAGCCAGGCAGAGGAAGTGTGCAGCGAGCCACTCGTGAACATGCACGGACATGCTTACGGATAATTCGGTTCAACGTGACTCAGCTTGCGATTCTCTTCCTGGCCTCCATTACTGGCAGTGATTCCAATAAAAAATTTGGCCTTGATAAATAATGGATATTTTGCTTAATATCCCTAAAGAGGCAAAGTGGAAGGCAGAGCAACAAACATCGGAGCCCCCGGGGACTGAAATGCCCAGTGGAGACTCAGCACACATGGCCTGTCTCACATTTCTCTCTTTATACCTTCTTATTCTCACTGCCAGCAATGACTCAGTTTGACAGCTACTAGACTTCACAGAACATCCTCACATTTCTGTAATTTCTGTTATTTCAGCATGATTATCTTGTAATTTGACATAATCTACATGGACAGCATCACTAGCGAGGCTTACATTGTACTCTAAGGCCCCTGGCCAGCTGTCTGAATAACCAAATTATAATACAACAAACAATTTCATCTGGTACTACACAGAACATTCAGTGAACCTTCATCACGCATACTTTAACAGCTTTAATCTCCTTTAATAACAAACATTATATGATTATACAATTATAATGTTTGTTATTTATCATATAATTTTTGTTAAACATTAAAGTTCTTAAGGTATGTTAGGATGTTACGGTATGCTTATATGCTGCTTATGAATGTTCTATGAATGCATAATGATTACATTATGAAGGCCGGTTCACTGAATGTTCCACGGATGCTTCATAAAGGCATTATGAATGTGCAGTTAATGGAAAGAGTTACCTTTTGCTGATTATTTTTCTGATGTAATTGCTTAACTTATCCACCACTTGCAAAGAGAAATAGAGTGCTTATATTAATTCATTAAAACCCGAATCACTATCCTGCTCATTGTGTCCACAGCATACACCTCACTTTCCAGGCAATCTAGGAAAAGCCAATCTCGCCCCCATCTGTGATCCCACTGTGAGCTGTTGTGTGTTCCAGGCCGGTGCAGGAGACTCACGTGGTCTGGTCGTTGGTGAACTCCAGTTCCCCCTGTGCATCCTCGTAGTCCACGCCACCACCGTGGGCACTTCCCGGCTCCGTATGGTATGGGATGATGACGGTGCCACGGGCACCTGAGTTACGGACCACCGTCACCTCCATGGTGCCCACGCTCTCGCTCACACGCACCAGACGCTCACCGAAGGTGAAGATGCCAGCATGGTCGTCATCCAGGATGGTGACAGTGGCCACCAACGGCTCCACCAGCCGGCCCTTGGGCGCCATGCCCACACCCTCGCTCTCGAACATGCCCTCTGCGTCGCCCACACGCAAGTTCAATAATCTCACAAAGAAGTGCTCGTCCTCCTCAAAGATGTCATCGTCGATGATGCCTACCTGTGACACGCAAGATGTTTCTAATGCAATGAGAAGCAGCAATACAGTACAAACTGAAAATAGATTCTACTGTATACAGTTTGATTACTGTGGACTTTAATGGGGGTAAAAGCGTCCTATTGATATACAGCCAAGGCAGAAGTCAGGGACACTGTATTTTTATCTTAAATAGTTTCATTTAACTACACGCCTACAGTCAGGGCATCTTTTGAAAATGAATCAAGTTAAACTCTTTATTACCTGGCCTCCTACAAACAAGAGGCTTAACAAACTTTATTCTATTAGTATTCTACACATTTTTACTGCTAGTATAAGAAATATACAGAGGTGGGAAGTTCAGGTACAGAAAGTACAAATCCAGACCAGATTTAGTTTCAGCCGACCAGCTGAATACACTGTTACTGTGACATAAGAACATAAGAACATAAGAACATAAGAAATTTACAAACGAGAGGAGGCC